GGAGCACCGGACTGAGCTCTTAAGATCCAAATGAGGAGCAGAAGGAGGGAGAACATGAGCAAGAAAGTCAGGGCCAAGAGGGGTGCACCCACCCACTGTGACAGTGGAACTGATCTATTGGGAGCTCATCAAGGCCAGCGGGACTGGGACTGAATAAGCATGGGATGAAACCGAACTTTCTGAACGTGGCGGACAATGAAGGCTGATGAAAGCCAAGGACAATGGCACTAGGTTTTGATCCTAATACATGAACTGGCTTTGTGGGAGCCTAGCCTGTTTGGATGCTCACCCTCCTGGACCTGGATAGAAGTGGGAGGACCTTGGACTTCCCGCAGGGCAGGGAATCTGGACTGCTCTTCTCGAGAGGGAGGGGGAATGGAGTGAGGGGAGGGGGAGAGGAGTGGAGAGGAGGGGAGGAGAGTGGGGGGAGAAAAGTGGGGGAAGGGGCGACGTGTGGAAGGAGGGGGAAGGAAATGGGAAACGGGGAGGAGGCGGAATTTTTTTTTCAACAACTAAAAAAATAAACAAAATAAAAAAAAAGAAAAGGAGTTCATGCTTCATAACTCAAATAACTCAGTATGGACCTCAAATGCAGAGCACAAAGTCAGAGATTGCTTGACATCTCTTCTGGGTAGTGGAGCCAGCTGTAGAGCAAAGAATCCCAGCCACTCAGATGACCTTTCCAGCAGGCAGCAGACATAAAAAGCAGGTGTGTATACATGTCTATCCATTTGATAAACTGATCTGCATCCAGAGTCCACACTACCAACTTAGAGTTTGGAGGCAGGACCTGATGCTTACTCTGAGTTTCTTCTTCTGGCTCCTGAACATCTCTTCTCATGTCCAGTTTCACTCACCCCAAATGCTTCTGGAGAATTAAGCAGAATGAAGACAAGCATGGAGATGTGGTGACAGTTTGTGTCTTTTTCCTTTCTGCAGTGCCGAGCACAGTGGAGAAAGAGCATTTCAGCTTTGCTCTGGATGTGAAGTAAGTGCATTTGCACTTTCATGTGCATGTCATGAGAGGTGTGTGGATGAGCCAAGCAATGCAATGAACCTTCTGTCCTTTTCTTCCAACCTCATGACCAAGAATCAACCCAAAAAATATTTTGGATTTTAGTAATCATGGTTTTTCCACTATCAAACAGTGAGACTTTTAAATTTTTCTTCCAGTTAGCCTCCATTTACAAGGCTGAAAGACAAGTGGAAAGAGCATTCTTTACCTTGATCCATCATAGATGGCCTTCCTTACCACAGGTGCCATTGTAAGTTATCCAGTGGTGTCCTACAAAAAGAAGCCCCAGACTATTGCAGTGAGTTCAGTAGTCACAAGTCTCTTCCAGAGTCTGCAGATGTCACTTCCATCAGTGTGTGACTCCTAGTGCAGATACAAGGTCAATAAGATTTGTCCTACTCTTCATTAGGAGAGAATCCATGTAACCATTAATTAGGCTTTCAGATACTCTGCTTGTAATCACTCCATACTTCAGAAGCTGCAATGACTTAGACATATAAGATCTGTCTATTGTGAGGTATTTGGGTGTCCTATTTGCCTTTCCTTCACTTGACCACATGCACAGCCACAAGCTTTTAGGGACTTCAAAGGCCAGGACTTTATCTTCAAAGTCAAGAAGGAATGTCTAGACTTCATGTGGTGTGTTTTTGTCCTGAGAAATCTAGGACATCACTTATCGTGGTGACTGCTTGCTCCCCTTCTCACTGGCTAGAGCAGCAGGTGCTGCCTGTAGTAGCTGACAGTATTTGAGAACTAGGATGCAAGGTAGCATACTGAGTCACCTCTGGCACTGTAAAAGATGTATGTGCTTGCTGTTTTAAGCTTCAGTCTTTATTCTTCGATACTTATATTTATCTCTGCATCTCTTTCAGGAATTTCACTAAACACTATCTCTGCATCTCTTTCAGGAATTTCACTAAACACGGCTGCATAATTTACCAAGGTGGACACTAAACACATTTCATTCTGAGAACATGCAGCTTTCCTTTCTATCTTGCCGTCCCTGAGGTTTGTCATCAGCAGTATACTTTCTTCTGGACAGTGTTTTTTTCTCACAGGCAAAATCAGAAGTCTCTCACAGCTCTCAAGTTTACTGGAAAAAAAACAGAATTGACGAGCTTGAACTCAAATGACTTATAAATCAGAATGAACTCCAGATGGAAGGTGAGGCACACATGGGCTCCCACAACAAGTGACAAAGAGAAACCCAGTGTTAGGATGAGGTGTTTGGTTTTAATTCAGCATGTTAATTAGGAAACCCAAAGGGGGCTTCTGATTGCTTGACTTTGATACTTTGATAACTGGACTTTGGTAGTGTTGGACTCTGGCATCCAAACACCGAGAAGGAGTCGCCCCCAGAGACCATCTCACACACCGCAGCCGATGCAAAAGCATGAGGATTTTATTAATTCTGTCATGACAGGGTCCCCCAGCATTCGGGAAGCCGAGGGACCTCGAATAGCGGGTACAGTCTACTTTTAAAGGGGCCACAGAAGCAAGGGGGGTTGTTCTTTGACTATTCTGATTGGCTTATTTGAAAGGGCTATTACCAATAATTGACTGGAGAGCTGTTGCCAGATCAGATGAGGTAAGAGGTCATTTTGACCCCGTTTCCCAGGGGACCGAACCAAAGCATACGTATATGGGTAATTGTTCAGGAACTGAGTACGTGCGAGTGTAGCTGTTAGGTCCTTGGTTCCCAGGGGAGGAGGGGAAGCACTATGGCACAGAGGCTGAGAGGATTCAGAATTGTCAAAAATGGCTTCAGGATTGTCTTAAAGTCTTACATTCCCTCCTCTTTTTTGGTCAAATATCTCAATCTTGAGATATTAGTAAATTTGGAAGACCAATTGGATCTGTATACAGAAATTAACAAACCAGTGTTATAGACCCATCATAGATCAATAAACTGTCAGATGAGACTATTTTCTCATATTAGGGAGGTCCTGCTGACAAGCATAGCCAACAAGATTGTGTCAAGCTGGGGTCAGTACTATTTAGCAAAGAAAAGGCTCCCACTATCAGATTAAACAGTCACTGGCCTGTATTAGAGCTTGCCAGCAGTGAAGCAGGAGTTGTAGAAGGGTTTTTAGGACTAGGAGTGGAGCCCAGGGCCCTGGAAAGGGGGGCTACCTCGGCAGGGGCTCATTGGCCCTGGTCAGTTAATACTGGGTTGGGCCCTAGTACTATGGTCATTGGAGGTGTTACAACTCACAGGGTGAACAGAATCCCTATGTCTTTTTTTTCTGGATCATATAACTATAAACCCCAAGTATTGCCTGTCAGATTTTTTTTTTTCTCAGTAAAAGTGATTATGATTTCAGACTGTTTTCTGGTGTGGTACGGGTGAAAGAGACTAAGTCCTTTTTGTTAACCCTCAACCAGGAGACATTGACATTGGTTTTACATCCCCAGGCAGCACAATAAACTTTAGCCGCCCCCCCTAATATTGTTTTTCCCCCCCAGACAAACATATCATTCAGAATATTTGCATACAGGATAAAAGTTTCCAGGGGTTTGCTCAGTATCCTCCCAAGAGGCGAGAGGATTTTGGGTACGCTGAAACTTTCATTTGGATGGTCCTGGGTCGTCCCGTGGAGGTGTAGGCTTGACGTGAGATGCATGGATCCAGGCTGCAAGATCGTCCACTTTGAGGGCAGTAGGTGTAGGGTCCCTTCCAGCGAGGTTTAAGGTTCTGGGACCGGTGTCTCTGAACATACACAGAATCGCCAACCTGGAACGGGTGTGAGATTTCCGGGTGCCCAGGCTGGTGTTGGGAGGTGCCAGCAGAGAAGCAGGGAGAGTAGCTTAGCCCAGCGGGCAGCAGCAGGGATAGCTAGGGCCCCTTTAGGGAGGGTCTAGTCTGGCCTGCAGCAGCAGGCTCTGGTCAGATAAATACCATTTTATGTCCCAAGTCCTTCTCGACACCCATGGAGACAGTCCCGCTTCTCGCCCCTGGGAGACAAGTGGGGGAGATGTCTGAACCCCCGTGTCCAAATATCTCCTCCAGGGGAAAATCTTTTGCCAGCCTCCAGGGGCAGCTGTGGGGGATATGTATCTCAGATATCCCAGGAGGCTAGCTCTGCCACTAGTTGACAGAAATCAGGGCTAAGGGCAGGGGTATCAAAGCAAGGGCTTGAGGAGGCGTGGATTGCAGGTATAAGCGAACAGCTGCTGTTCTGGCTGTGGGGTGCTGCAGCTTTTTTCATGTCCCTCCGGATATACCCCAGGCGTCAATTCTGGAACGAATGCGAGATTTCCAGGTGTCAGGGTGGCCAGAGGTCTCTATGCTAGGGCTCGGAGATCTGGAGAGCCTTCAACCGCACCTGCAGATGGGGCTTGTGAGCAAATGGGTCATGAGGGGCCTTAGGAAACTAAGAGGAGGGTCCCCCATATTGGATCTCATAGGGGGTTAGTCCAAGCTGAGACGAGGTGTTTCACACATAGAACAGTGCTAGGGGAAGGAGCTGTACCCAGTCTCTAGTGCCAGATTCCAAAGGCTAATCTGGTTTTATTTATCCTTTTTACCTGTCCTGAACTCTGGGGTCTGTATGTACAATGTAATTTTTCCCAGTCTTATCTATGCCCTGACTTTTCTGGGCAACAAGGCAGTTTTACCATCTATTCCAATTACTTTGGGCAGGCCAAACCTCGAGAAGATTTCTTCTTTGATATTCTTAGTCCGGTAAGAAAAAGCTTCTCTGCCATCAGGCCGATGTCCCTTTAAGTAGGTTGCTCAGGTCATTCATCATTGCTGCCCTGCCTTCTTACCAGCATGCCCCACCAAAACCGGCTCTGCTTGGGCATTGCAGTACCCCAAGCTTCCCATAGCTGCGGTCTTGGAGCTGGGAGCAGTTGTTTTCTGTGAAACTTGCAAGCAGCTCGGGAAGGCTGTTTGGAATTGGGCTCCAGCATCTCCAGAGCCCCTCCTCATTTTAGTCAGTTGCTGCCTGTGGAGGCAGGTGGCTGTAAGCAGAGTTCCCAGGCTTGGGCTGTGACCAAGGCAGCTGGGAGGAGGATTCAGCCTGCAGTGGCTGCAAAGCCTTCCTCAGCGAGGTGGGCATGGCGAAGGCAGAGAGCAGCCTGCTTTTCTTTACAGCCCTGGAGAAGAGTAGGGGAAGTCAAAGTCTCCAACAGGTCTTTTTGTAATAAAAGCGTGGGACACTCAAGAATAATCAGCAGTTCTTGTGTCCATAGTCAAATGCTTTAGACGTAGCGAGGGGGAACTCCTCCCCTTTACCCCCCATCCCAGAATCGGACACCTGGGTGTACAGTGTAAACAAGGGGGGGGGGATTTCAGTATTGTCATTGTCGCCCACTCCCTTCCAGGTTCGTATCAGTTTGTTGCCGCGCGGCTTCTGATTTTGAGTCTATGTCTGTCTTTTTGTTCTTGTGTATTTTCAGTTCTACACCAGAGTGGTGGTGAGAGCACCAGCTTCTGGTTTTGAGTTTATGTCTGTCTCTTTGTATTTTTTGTTTTTTTTATGTCGGCTTCTCTGCAGAACTTGAAGTTGTGTTTCGTGTTAATCCCGACGTCCCTCGCTCAGAAGAACGACAGTTGCCGTGCTGGCGCGGCAAAGGAGTGCAGAAGGCCAAGGCCCACCAGAGCTGTGGTCGCCACACTCGATCTGGCCAGAGATCCCTTCAAATATAATATAACTAATATGATACAATATCACTGAATAAACAAAACAGTTAAACGCCGTAACAAAATATTTTATTAATGATCTTCCAACTGCGCATGCCCACAATGTGAACACCATTTCCCAGAGGCATCCGGGCAGTGTCAGGCCAATTTGCGTGCTGGGCGAGAATTGGTGTGGCCGTAATAAAGAGTTGAAAATATATGTGGTCAGAGTGCATTGTATACAACTATAAAATTCTCAAAGAATAAAGAAAATGCTTAAAAGAATAATAGGCTCATTTACAGCCCCACCAACCCAAGCACTACGAACTATATGTCCCAGAGGTCTGTGCGTAGTGCACACCATGCAAAGTTGCATTCTGGGAGGCGCAATTTTTAAAGAGGTTCTGTCCGGTCGCCATCAGGGTTCAGCTTATGGCATGCTTCTGGGGCTGGTGCAAAGAATAGGAGAGAAAAGTGGTCTCTGGATAGAAAATTGTATTCTCCCCAGATTAAATCTGGATGGTCTTCTGCAGAGACTCTAGGTAAAGGAGAAGATCTTGAAAGACAAAAACCAAGCAAGATGTAATCCTGGAGAGATGGAATACTTGAGTCTCTAACTCAAAAAAAGAAGAAGAAAAGGAAGTAAGGAGATATACAGAGAGAGACAGAGACAGAGAAGAAATGGAAGGAACGAGAAAATGGACTGGACGGGAGCAGCCTGGAGGGCTGAATCACAAACTGAATGATGAGACCCTACCGCATCCCAGGATGGACGTCTGTGCTGTGAATATCTGGTACACTCTCGCCTGTGGCTGTGTCTTGTTGCCTGATGAGAGCTCTCTCTGTGGAAAGATTGAGGTGAGGCTGTGGGAATATCTTTATAGTGAGCAACCATAAAGAGCAAGCACGTGTACTCTGGTGTGTCTCCTTAACTAGGAATTACTCTGTACCATGTCAACAGGTGTCAGCAGGTTGAGTTGGCTTAAGTGAATGCAGGTGAGAGTTAGTCCTGTTATCTTTTACTCCTCTTTTTAAACAACTTTTTTTCCTAAGAGTCTTATATGGGTAGAAACATTGCAATGATAGCCCAGAAAGCTCTTGCCTCCCCGCTCCCCCAAGTTTCTGTTAATAAGACAAGCAGAAGGCACTTATTATAATCCAGCCTTTTTTCCCCTTGAGATATAGATTTTTCTCCACTACCCTCCCTTCTTCTACTCTCCCCTTTAACCCTCTCCCATTGCCCCATGCTCCCCCAATTTACTCAAGAGATCTTGTCATTTTCTATTTCCCATGTAGATTAGATTCATTTGTGTCTCTCTTAGGGTCCTCATTGTTGTCCAGGTTCTCTGGGATTGTAATTGTGGGCTGGTTTTTCTTTGCTTTATGTCTAAAAGCCACTCATGAGTGAGTACATGTAATATTTGTCTTTCTGAGTCTGGGTTACCTCATTCAACATGATGTTTTCTAGATACGTCCATTTGCCCGCAAATTTCAAGATGTCATTATTTTTTTTCGGCTGTATAAAACTCCATTGCATAATCTTTATCCATTCTTCAGCTGAGGGACATTTAGGTTGTTTACAGGTTCTGGCTATGACAAACAATGCTGCTATGAACATAGTTGAGCACATGTCCTTGTGGCACAATTGAGCGTCCTTTGGGTATACACCCAAATGTGGTATTGCTGGGTCTTGAGGTAGGTGGTTTCCCAGTTTTCTCAGCAATCACCATACTGATATCCAAAAGGGCTGTATCAGTTTGCACTCCCACAAGCAATAGCGCAGTGTTCCCTTTACCCCACAACCTCTCCAGCATAAATTGTTTTCAGTGTTTTTGATTTTAGTCATTCTTACAGGTGGAAGATGGAATCTCAGAGTTGTTTTGATTTGCATTTCTCTGATGACTAAGGATGTTGAACATTTCCTTAAATGTCTTTCAGCCATTTTAGAGTCCTCTGTTGAGGGTTCTCTGGTTAGGACTATACCCCATTTTTTATTCGATAATTTGTTCTTTTGGTGTCGAATTTCTTGAGTTCTTTGTATATTTTGGAGATCAGTCCTTTCTCTGTCTAATGTCAGGTTTGTGAAGATCTTTTCCCATTCTGTAGGCTGTCGTTTTTTTCTTGTTGACCGTGTCCTTTGCTTTACAGAAGCTTCTCAGTTTCCGAAGGTCCCATTTAATAATTGTTTCTCTCAGTGTCTATGCTACTGGGGTTCTATTTAGGAAGTGATCTCCTGTGCCAATGTGTTTAAGTGTACTTTCCACTTTCTCTTCTAAGGGGTTCAGTGTGGTTGAATAAGCCAATCTTTTCAATAATATATTTGTTCCTTTACAATTTAACAAATAGTGATAATATTCGCCCCATTGTCTTCTTATCCCCTCCTTTCCTACAAGTCCCCTCAGCTATTTTCCTATCTTCTTTTGTTTGGTTTCGTGGCACTTTGTGGGGGAGGCACTCGCTACATACAATTATGGTTGCGAGCATGGAAAGGGGGTCGTTGCCTCTGCGAGGGCAATTTAGCACTGGCTAGGGAATATGACAGGAACTGAGTGATACTGATCCTGTCTTAATGTACGTTTAAAATTCATGAGCTGAAGTTATAGTTCTGAGAGTAGAAAGCACTTTCATGCACCACACTTGTGCACATAATGCACACAGAAAGCTCACCACTTACCGTGACTTTCCACAGAGTTCATCTATCATTGCCTCTCTCTTCCAGGACACCATGGACCACTGTGCTGTCACGGCCCTTCCATCCCTCCTGACTAGGATGCTGACTTCGTTTTCAATCGTCTCCACACTTTCTGAGGTGAAGGGTTTTGTTGGCTGCTCCTCTGCAGGAATTTTTCTGCTATTTCTCACGAATTCACTGGGATGATAGGGACGAGGGAGGAATTACCTACGCTGCCATATTTATCACAACACTATTGCAAAGTCCTCCTTGACTACTTGATAGCAATTTGAAGGACAGCCTGGGATACAGGAGACCCTTCCCTCAAAAAAAAAAGCTACAGAGAAACCCTGTCTCGAAAAAAAAATAATAATTACAGAATGTATCATGTTACTGTTCTCTACAGTGACAGCTAGCATACTAATTTGTACCGTGCAGTTTAACTATCCTTTTGTTTTTGTTTTTCAAGACAACATTTCTCAGTGTAGCCTTAGCTGTCCTCGAACTCACTCTGTAGACCAGGCTGGCCTCGAACAAACAAAATCCACCTGCCTCTGCCTCCAGAGTGCTAATATAAAGGCATGCACCACCACCACCCGGCTTAACGTTCCCATTTTTAAAAGGTCACAAGAGAAAATTATACTATGTATATTATTACCTGTACATTTATATTAAAGTGAAGCAAAAATACCTTGAAATAGAAGCAATCCACTTGCCTGGCTTGGTGATCCATGCCTTTAACCCCAGCACTTGGGAGGCAAGGCAGGTGGCTCTCTGAGAATCCAAGGCCTTTGTGGTCTACGAAGACAGTTCCAGGACAGCCAGGACTGTTACACAGAGAAACACTGTCTCAAAAGAAAGGAGGGAGGGAGGGAACTACGGAGGGAAGGACGGAGGGACAGAGACACAGAAGGGGGAATAAATAAACCATGGTCCATGGTTTAGAGAGAAAGCCTAGTGTTCTCCTGAGTAGAGAATCATGGAGAGCCTTAAAACCTAGTCAGACACTCCAATGTGAGGCTGAAGATGCCCCCTATAATTCTGGCAACCAGGAGACTGAGGCAGGAAGATTGAAATAAGGCTGAGCTTAGTAGTGTGCACTTTTAATCCCAGCACTGGGGAAGGAAACAGATGAATTTTGTGAGTCTAAGGCTATCCTGGTCTACAGAGTGAGTTCCAGGACAGCCAGGGCTACACAGACAAACCTGTCTGGGGGAAAAAAATCTCTGTTGAGGCTGGGGATTAGAAAGATCTGTTAAAAGTCTTGCTGCTTTTGACTAGAACACAGGCTTGAGTCCCATTACCATAAACGCTCAAATCTGCCCATAACTTCAGTCCCAAACATGTTCAGGTACACATACATAGATGCCAGCAAAACACCCACAAAAAGTTGATATCAAAGCCCTAATTATCAAAATAAAATAAATAAAAGGAATCCCGTACACCACCACACCTACCACCCCCTACCTCCCCCATCCCTCACCACCCCAACTTCCCCCACACCCATCCCCCCTACATCCTCTATCCTCACCACCCCAACTTCTCCCACCTTACCCCACCCCCATCGCCATTATTAGACCCAAGCACCTCTTTGTTAGGTTGCACTCTTGAACTTGTTTCCGTGAATTGCATGCTGGGAATTACACCCGGGTTTCCAAGGATACACGCTAGCTTTTCCTAGAAGGTAGAGAGCAAACTGAAAAGAATATTTTCACATGCTGTAATGCCTGGTTACAGTGTTTGTGCATGCGCAGCACATTTTCTGGTTGAACATCCACAGAGGTTTATGGTGTAGCCGCCAACTTTAGAGATGAATTTATCTGGGTTCAGTGCTGAGCACGTGCGTTGTATAGGCTCTGCGCATGTGTCGTACATGCAGTGCGCATGCGTTGTATAGGCTCTGCGCATGCGTTGTACAGGCACAGTGCGTGGGTTTACATTCACTGCGCATGCACAGATCTGTCCCCACCGCAAACCTGATCCGTAATTATGACTCTTTTCTTTTACTGTCACGCTGAATAAGCATAGCTATTATTGGCTAGACCAGTGCTCAGAAGTTTGAAGTGGGTCTCACTGGGATAAGCCAAAATGTTAAGGTTGCACTCTTAGAAACTCTGCAAGGTGTCTTACCTCCTACCTTGCCAACTTCTAGAAGTTCAGTGATTTCAAGGCCAGCCAGGTCTACAAGAGGTCGTTTCAGGACAGGCTCCAAAGCTACAGAGAAACCCTGTCTCAAGAAACAAAAAAAGAAAGAAAGAATGTGTTCATTTTTTTTTATTTTATGATGTTGGTGTTTTGCCTGTAAAACATCTGTGTGAGGGCATCAGATGCCCTGGAACTGGAGTCACAGACAGCCCATGTGTTGCCATGTGGGTGCTGGGCATTGAACCAGGGTCCTCTAGAAGAGCAGTCAACGCTCTTAACCAATGAGCCATCTCTCCAGCCCCCAGATATGAAGATATGAACATTATTATTAAAAGTTTTTGTTATATGTATTTAGTTCAGTGTGTGTGTGTGTGTGTGTGTGTGTGTGTGTGTGTGTGTGTTGGCACAGGCATGGTGCACATGTGGAGGACAGAGGGCAACTTGTAGGACTCAAGTCACTGTTCCACCGTACGAGTCTCAAGGATGGAAGTCAGGTAGCCAGGCTTGGCAGCAAGTACCACTGAACCATGCAGCCAGACCTCAAATATGGACATTTTTTGAGTCACTCATCCTGTCTACCTCAGTCCCATACATTCAGACTCTCCTTTGTGGTTTTAGGGTCCCAGCTGTCATATAATCTGTCCCTCCTTTACTAATCTGGTTTTTTTTTTTATAATTAAAAATGCCTTTGAGGTTTAAATTCCTTAGTGAGAAAAATACAAATCTGTGACCAATAGAAAAAAAAACTGAGGACTCTAAGCAACTTATAAAGAATATCAGGCAAGGTCTGCTAGTACAACCCTACCATCACTACCCAGCAAGTTCCCATCTCTGAAATCAGACAGAACACACTATTGAAGCTCTTGCTAATGTTCTCCCAATGTAACATCTTCCCAGAGGAATTCACAAAACTAGATTCTTGACGCAGAGGTACATTTCCGGCTCTCTAATTTCCTCGTGCTCCTTGGGGGGGGGGGAGGTTAGGAAGAATCTTTATCACCATAAATTTCTACACTGGTGTATTCAGAAATACTTACAACGCATGTAGCCCAGCCTCCACGACTTCACTCTTGCAGTTGAGTCACTGGAATCTTTCTGGAATAAGTACCCCCCACACCTAGAGTGAAAGAGATGAAATGTTACCCATGGACCAAAGCCTGGTAGACCCAGACAAGTGCCTAAAAGGACCTCGTCTCGGGCTCAGTTTGCATTATCATCTTACTCCTGCCCCCCAGGCTAATTTACGTGACAGGTTTAGAGAGACTGAGTGGGGACTGCGTGAATGCATGTCCGCTGAAACAGACAGTGTATCAGAAGGCAGAGTAGGAGCTAAGCATTGTCTCCAGTCTGAGGTGGTGAGATGATCAATTTCAGAGGCTGGTCTAGTTTGGCTTTCACGGTCCGCTCCTGGCTGAGGGCCACACCCACAGCTTGATACCTGCAACTTTAAGCACTTTTTGTGTGCCATACTCTCGGAGGTGCCCAGAGTCCTTTGGGAGCAATGGAGAAGGATAGTCAGCCACGATCTCAAAGGGGAGTAACAACATATATACATGTATAACAAAATCTAAACTGGAAGTACAAGTGGCAGAATTTTTGGTCGAGTAGATGGCTGTTTCTTGGCAGTTTGGCCAATGTCATCTTAAAAGTCCTATTGAGATTTGAACACATTTTAAGTTAATTCTCTGTGAGGGTAGGAAAGGCTTCTACCCAGCTGGGGGAGGGAGGGAGTGCACACCACAACTAGCAAATTATCAGTCCCCTCTCCTGGGTGGAATGTCAATAAAGTCCACTTTTAGATGTTTAAATGGGGAGGAAGGACTCCTGAGTTTGTCAACATGTGGGCCTTGGGTCCCTGCTTGGTTTGTTCTGGGCACACTGCAGACATGCTTTGCTAGCTTGCTGGGTCAGTGTTGGCAACCACCAAATTTCTTTGCAACAGTTCCTTCCGGGCAGTTTTTCCAGATGCGTTGTTCCATAAGCTTTGCCAAACTAGTCTGGGAACGGTCTTCTCAGAAATGACTGTTTTCCTTTCTGTGTTCATCAACTCCTGCTTTACAATAAACCTCTTCATCAGTTGTTCTTTTTCCTCTGGTTTCTATGAGGAGAGCTCTGGGAGCATGCAGAGCGTAAGCTTACCTTGGAGGGGTAGGAAGGGAGGGGACTGCAGGACTGTGTCTGCACTGAGGGCAGCATGTTTGGCTGTCTAATCTGCTAATTGGTCTTCCACTCACTCTACCTTGACTCTCTGTGTGATCCTGGCAGTGCACCACAGCCACAGCTGGGGGCCCAGATAGCTTCTAGGACCTATAGGATTTGGTCTTGGTTTTTAACTTCTTTCTCCCATGAGGTCTCCTGATATAAGGGGCTACTCCTACTGTTGTAAGCTTCAGCTCCCATCCATAAAAGGTTCTATATCAGAATCGGGGAGCAGCTCATCCTTTAAGTCTGACTGTATAGAAAAAGTCTCCTTTATAATTTCTCTGAAATCATGGAAGTACTCTCCCTCTTCAGGGAAGTGTCTGGTTGGTTTTAGGGCCTGGTACCATAGCTGTAATCTTGGACGAGGGGAGTGCCTGGCATTTCCCTCAATGGCACATCAAAAAGAGGATCTTCCCAGTCAACCAGCTGGCCAAAAATCTTGTGAGCATCCCCATGTAGTTGTTGAGTCTGGCAGAGATGGCTGGCCTGCTTAGGTTGGTGATCATTGTGTCCAGATAGATGCCACTGGAAAGGCAGGAGAAAGTGGTCTTTCTACTGCCTTGGAGCCTTGTGGTGCTGGCAGTTGGAGCTGGTAAGGAGGTGGCATCACAGGCAAAATTTCACCCTCTGAGGAAGCTGATAGGGGTGTTGCTTTGATGTCTTCAAGCTTAAAAATCTTTGCAGCCATTGTGGTCTGGGCTGGTAGTGAAGCCATAGCAGAGGGTCTCAGGGAAAGAAACACCATGGGACATGGTCTTAGTGACCAGGTAGTCCCATACAGATCCCTCCAA